CTGCGCTTTTTCATTACCATTTCTTAGAATTTTCATTAGGATATTTCATTAGGCTCCTTCGCTTTTTCATTACCATTTCATAGAATTTTCATTAGGATATTTCATTAGGCTCCTGCGCTTTTTCATTACCATTTCTTAGAATTTTCATTAGGATATTTCATTAGGCTCCTGTGCTTTTTCATTACCATTTCATAGAATTTTCATTAGGATATTTCATTAGGCTCCTGCGCTTTTTCATTACCATTTCTTAGAATTTTCATTAGGATATTTCATTAGGCTCCTTGGCACTTTCATTACCATTTCATAGAATTTTCATTAGGATATTTCATTAGGCTCCTTGGCACTTTCATTACCATTTCTTAGAATTTTCATTAGGATATTTCATTAGGCTCCTGCGCTTTTTCATTACCATTTCATAGAATTTTCATTAGGATATTTCATTAGGCTCCTACACTTTTTCATTACGATTTTTTATATTTCTCATTAGGATATTTCATTAGGCTCCTTGGCACTTTCATTAGGTTTTCTTGGAATTTTCATTGGGATATTTCATTCAGCTCCTTGACCCTTTCATTACCATTTCATTAAATTTTCATTAGAATGCTTCTTGGCGCTTTCATTAGGATATTTCATTACACTCCTTGACCATTTCATTAGATTTTTCATTGGGAGATTTCATTGGCCCTTTCATTACCATTTCTTTTAGGATATTTCATTGAGCACCTTGACGATTTCATCACTTCTCATTAGGCTCCCTGGCACTTTCATTACTATTTCTTAGATTTTTCATTAGGATATTTCATTAGGCCCTTTGGCACTTTCATTACCGAAAACTATATAATAATGATGATATGTATCACATGGGTTGTTGGGAGGGTGGTCACATGACCAATTACCAAAAATAGTCAAAAAGCAAAAGTTGTACCCCTGCACTGTAGCTTCCCGAATCTGGTTGAATTATGTTCTGAAGTGCTCCTGTTGTGGAGATATGAGGTAAAGGAATTCCAAAAGCGTCGTGTTTTTTTTGGTTTTTTGCATTTTTCTTCATGAAAACAAGACCAAATAACATGATTCCAACACATTTAGAAAGCTAGATGAAAGGGCAACAAATATCATATCGTGGGAAAATTGACCAAAAAAGGAAGGTGCATTCCCTAAAAGAGCAATCAACACTGACACACTACAAGTTTACTGATAGACTACAAAAAAGTTGGACATAGGCTACAAAGTTTACTGATAGACTACAAAAGACTACAAAAGTCAGACTTAGACTACAAAAGCTTGGACTTAGACTACAAAATTAGGGTTACATTAAAAGGTTTTGTAGTGTCCGCTTTTTCATTAGAAAAGTTTAGTGTCCGCTTTTTTAGACTACAAAAGTTTGTAGTGTGTGCCTTTTCATTAGAAAAGTTTGTAGTGTCCGCTTTTCAGACTACAAAAGTTTGTAGTGTCCGCTTTTTCATTAGAAAAGTTTGTAGTGTCTGCTTTTTGAGGCTACAAAAGTTTGTAGTTGACATATAGTTTATGGTGTCCTTGACTCTGTATAAGTTATGGGGATGAGGTTAAAGGATTGACATGATTTTACATATTGCCATTGCTGCAGCATTTACTTTTGACATCATGTACAAATTGTCTTTCACATCAAGAAAGGCTATTCTATGCCTTCATATTGATAGCTACTGTCCT